GAGAGATCAACAGCATTAGTCTGAACAGGGAATTTTAACACCCTTTGACATCAATGGTTAGATGATTCAGACAGAAAATCAATAGTAGCCTTAATGAGATATTAGACCACATGGGCTTAAATGATATTTTTAGACCATTTCACTTCAAAGCAACAGAATACACATTCTTTTCAAGCACACATGGTACAGTAGCCAAGATCAACCTGCCACAAAACAAGTTTCAATCATATCGAGCATCTTCTTCAATCAATGGTATGAAACTAGAAATAACTATAAGAACAACACTGAAAAACATAAACACTTGGAGGCTAAATAACATGCTACAAAACAATAATTGGGTTAACAAGTTCAAGGAAGAAATCAAAAGATACACTGAGACAAATGGAAATGAATACACAATGAGCCTAAATCTGTGGGACACAGCCAAAATAGCTGTAAGAGAGAAATTCATAGCAATATTGGTCTACCTCAAGAAACAAGAAAAACCTCAAATAAGCAATTTAACCTTACACATGAAGGAACTAGAAAAAGAACTAACAAAGCCCAAACTTAATAGAAGAAAGGAAATAATAAAGATTCAAGTGGAAATAAAAGAGTCCAAAAATACAAAATATTTCAAAATGCAAAAATACAAAGAACGAAGAGCTGGTTCTTTGAAAAAATAAACAAGACTGATAAACCTTTAACCATACTCATCAAGAAAAAAAGAGAGCCCTGGTCAATGTGGCTCAGGTGGTTGGGCATCATCATACAAACTGAAAGGTTGCAGTTCCATCCCCAGTCAGGATATGTGCCTAGGTTGTGAGTTCGGTCCCCCATTGGGGCATGTGCAAGAGGCCACCGATCAATGTTTCTCTCCCTCTTCCTCCCTCCCTCCCCCTCTCTCTAGAATAAAAGAAGAAAAAAAGGAGACAAAAAAATAAAATCAGAAATGAAAGAGAAATTCCAAATGACACCACAATAATACAAAAGATTTTAAGAAAATACTACCAATAATTACATGCCAACAAATTGGACAACCTGGGAAAAATAAATTCTTAAAAAACATATAATCGTCCAAGGCTGAATCAGGAAGAAACAGAAAATCTGAATACTAATGAAATCCAATCAGCAGTTACATTCAAAGAAAATTTAATACCTATTTTCTCAAACTGTTACAAAAAACTGAGGAAGGCTCCCTACCTCATTTTATGAAGTCACTATTACCCTTATACCAAACCAGTCTAAGACATTACAAAAAAAGAAAATTATAGGCCAATATCCTTGTTGAACATAGCTGCAAAAATCCTCAATACAAAAATTAGCAAACTGAATTCAGCAATACATTAAAAAGATCATATACCATAGCCATGTGTATTTATTCCCAGGATACAAGGCTAGTTCAGTATCTGCAAATCAATGTAATATATCCCATATACAAAATGATATAAAACCATGATATCACTAGATGCAGAAAAAGCATCTGACAAAATCCAAATCCATTTATGATAAAAACTCTCAGCAAAGGGGGGATAGAGGGAACATACTCAACAGTATAAAGGCCACATATGACAAACCCACAGCTAACATCATACTTGATGGTAAAAAGGCAAAAGCTTTTTCTTTAACATCAGGAACATGACAAGAATATCCATTCAACATACTATCAGAGGTCTTAGCCATAGCAATCAGACAAGAAAGAAAATGCATCTGAATTTTAAACTGTATTGAATTATTTGAAATTTTTCTTGTTTCATGGGGATTTTTGCATCTATGTTCAACAGGGATATTGGCCTATAGTTTTATTTTTTCAGTAATGTCTTAGCCAGGTTTTGGTATGAGGGTAATAGTGGCCTTGCAAAATGAGGTAGGGAGACTTCCCTCTTCAATCCTGTGGAATAGTTTGAGAAAAATAGGTATTAAGTCTTTGAATGTTTGATAAAATATACATGTATGTCATTATTTGCAGATGACATACTACATAGAGAACCATAAGGAACATACCAAAACACTGTAAGAACTAATAAATGAATTCAATAAAGTAGCATGGAACAAAATTAATACTTAGATATAGGTTGTAATTTTGTATATCAATAATGAACTATTGAAAGATAAATTAAGAAAACAATCCCACTTACAACTGCATGAAAAAGAATAAAATACCTAGGAATAAATGTAACTAAGGAGGTAAAAGAACTGTACTCGGAAAATTTTAAGACACTGAAATAGGAAGAAGACACAAATAAATGCAAATTTATACAGTGCTCATGTATAGTAAGATTAATATTTTTTAAATGTCCATACTACCCAAAGCAATTTACATAGTCAATGTAATCTTTATCAAAATATCAATGGCATTTTTCACAGAACTAGAACAAATAATCCTAATATTTATTTGGAACCAGAAAAGACCCAATATCCAAAGCTATCATGAGGAAAAAAGGAATAAAGTTGGAGACATCACACTACCTGATATCCAACTATACTACTGTAAGGCCATACTAATCAAAACAGCATGGTACTGGCATAACAACAAACACAAAAATCAATGGAACAGAATAGACAGCCCAGAAATAAACCCATGCCTATATGGCTAATTAATCTATGACAAAGGAGGTAAGAATATACAAAGAGGGAAAGACAGTCTCTTCAGTAAATGGTATTAGGAAAACTTGATAGATACATGCAAAAGAATGAAACTGGATCGCTTTCATATGCCATCTACAACATGGATTAATTACGTAAATGTAAGGCCCTAAACTGTAAAACTTAGTGATTATTTCTTGGAATATGTCTTCTTGGGCAATGGAAACAAAAGAAATGAAAAAATGGGACTACAGCAAACTAAATAGTTTCGGCAGTGAAGGAAACCATAAACAAAATGAAAAAAAAATCTACTGAATGGAAGAGGATATTTGCCAATGATACATTCAATAAGGGTTAATATCCAAAATACATAAGGAACTCATACAACTTAACACCAGAAATAAAAATCTGGTAAATTAATGGACAGAGGACTTGAACACACATTTCTCCAGAAAGGACAATATGAAAGATGTTCATCATCACTCATCATCAGGGAAGTGCAAATTAAAACCACTTCACACCTCACAGAATGGCTATCAATAAATCCACAAACAAGTGCTGGGGAGGATGTGGAAAAAAGAGAACCCTCATGCATTTGGCTGAGGGACTGTAAATTGTTGCAACTACTATGGAAAACTGTATGGAGGTTCCTCAAAGAATTAAAAATAGAACTACCATATGACCCAGCAATTCCATTTCTGGGTATTTATCTGAAAAATCTAAAACACTAATTTAAAAAAGCTGTATGTAACCCTATGTTCACTGAAGCATCATTTACAACAGTCAAAATAAAGAAGCAACCTAAGTGTCCATTAATAGAGAAATGGATAAACATGTGGTGCATATATACAATGGAATATCACTTAGCCATAAAAAAATAATGAAATTTTGTCATTTGCAACAACATGGTTGGACCTAGAGGGTATTATTATGCTAAGTGAAAAGTCAGAAAAGATAAATACCATAAAATTTCATTTCTATGTGGCATATAAAAATAAAATAAATTAACCAAGAAAACAGAAACAAACTCATAGATATAGAGAACAACTTGATGGTTGCTAGATGTGAGTCGGGTTGGGAGCTGGGTGAAAAAGAGAAAGGCATTAAGACGTGCAAACGGCCCATCATAAAAAGTCATAGGGATAGTTTTACCAATTGGATAAACCTGTGGAAAGAGAGAGCCTGACACAAAAAGACATCACGGATTAGGTAAAGTCCTAAAGATAATGGATAACAAACAAGACCAATGGTGATACCTCTGAAACTATATATAAGTGGAGATCCAAATAACTGGTATGAAGGTAATTTGAGAGTTTATTTTTGAGGGATGCTATTTTTCACTGACATAGAAAGAGGTCTGCAAAGAGAGGGTGAGAAATAGAGTAAGAGGTCCAGAAAAGTGGAAAAAAAAAAACACCTGGGGAAACTGCTTACAAAAATGTGGGGGGAAACAAAAAGCTTATCAAGTATAATTGAACTCTGTGAGATACAAATAAGTATTATAATGGAGCCAACAGGTATGATTATATGATTCAGCTAGATTATTCAAGCCAGAGTTTATAAACTGTGAAGGCAGACTGGGCTCTTTTGGTATCAAATGAAGATTCTTACGAAGAGTGTTGGTGAAGTGCTTGATTATAAAATCCCAGAGTGAGGAAGCTAGTGATATGAAAAAATATGGAGGTTTCCAAGGAAGAACTGGATTTAATGACTGAATGGATATGGAATCTGATAAAGGAAAGCAAAGACTTAAACAAGATTCCTGATCATCTGGTAGAACTGACAAGGCCAATGTCCAAAACAGAATTCTTGGAGAGGGAGTAGGCTATACAGATTACTCAAAAATTTATTGTAAGATTTAGATTGGAAAAGTTTAGACAACAATCTTGCCATTTTTAAAAGGAGTAAGGTAAGTCCTAGAAAAGTTAAGTGTCTTTGCTGAAGTTTAAGGCACTGAACAAAGGCTAGAAATGACTTTAAATTCCAGGCTGTTCTATTACATCACAGAATCTCACTTGACATGATAGCAGGAAATACAGATGGTGATGCTTTTTGAGGAGATTCAGTAACACTAAAATTGGTTTGTTTCTAGGTTCATTTTAGGTAATAGTGGGGAAACATGATTTAGGAACAAAAAATGAATCCCAGGTGAAGCCAATCTGAGATAAAACATTTCCTCTGGTAATCCACATGGAGATAATCAAGAGTTGGATGTAGAATGATATAAGCACCTTAAAATATTCTAATGCAAGAACATTTTATGCTTCAAAATCCTCTCAATGTTACTTGGCAATACAGATGACAAATAAATTATTATGGCTTAGAATCTTAAACATTAAGAAGAGCTTTGCTTACTTTTAAGATTCTTTTTATCTTACACAAATATGAAATACTGAAGTCTGATTCTCTTTTAAGGGGCTAGATATTTGCCTTACCTTTACTACCTTGTAGTCACACAAGTATTCCACCTCATAATTGTTTAGATTCCTTTTCGTGATTCCAATCGATTTACATGTGAGCTTTTCTTTTCTACATAATTCCTGAAGAGTATCAAGTGAAACTAGGCAAGGCACACACCAAGCTACAATAAGAAAATAGAACTCTTTACTAATGAAATAGCTACTGAATAAAATCAAAAAAGGAAAAGGAAAAACTTAACACTTCTATATCCCCACCTTTCTACTGGCAATTTTATAGGACTAAAAATTCTTATGACAAGAAGCCATTTTTGTGTCTTCAAGACAAAAAATGAATTAAAGAATTATTGTGGTAAATTGGTCTTCTTGGACTTTCTCATGGGTTCCTACACTACCATGCATAACTGATGTCAATTAATTTCTACTGAGCCACCTGAACAAAATGTTTCACAGAAAGTCTGGAAGCTTTCTTAACATTACATATAGATTCAAAAATCAAAAGGGATAATGTTTTTGACTTTTCCAGTATAGTCTACAAAAAATACAATTGCTGTTTTAATAAAATATAGATATCTAGGATATACTTATTGCTAAAAATATCTTAAATGTATCTTAAAACAATCTTGTAATTTGTTAAAAATTTAAAACCTTTTCTCCCTTTCTCTTGGTTGGATAATCTAACTGAAATAGAGTTCTATAGTTACTCATGCATCATATGTCCTACTTTTCCCAGTTTGCAATGTAGCATGAAATTTTAACTCCACTTATCTTGCCCACGCTCCAATGTTATTATTATTATGAAGGTGAGTAATCCCCAGAGTTATAATAAAACAATGGAGAGTATGTTGAGTTTTGCCATACTCATTTCCTGTATTGTTTTTTTAAAATCAAGAATTACAAAACAGAGTATTCAATTTACATGACCCATACACCAAGCTTGAAGAAAATTAAACACATTCATAATCAATCTTACAGTAAGCCAATACCTTATTGTACTGCAGGTTTTACCCTCAAATTTCTGCTCCCATAGTGCTAATAAAATGTTAACACAAACTGATGTTTAGAAATCTGTAGTAAGCTTGGTTTCATGGTAGTGTTATGGTAAGCACTAGAGAGGACCAAAGGTCCTCTGCTCCAGCCTTTGCTAGGCCACTTAGCTATATGACTTGAGCTGGATTTTCACCAGGTTTCAGATTCACTGAGAAAATGTGGGAGTTGAAGTAAACTGGGGTTACCAAACAAAATCTTTCAGTAAACTCAAGCTTTACTTGGTAGCTCTCCAAGGTAGTTGCGATAACCTTTTGTGTTTTGGCTTCAGAGACCACAGCTGTTCTTGCTAGATCCACTCCTCACCCTCAGCTCACACAGGGATTTCATTGTCAGAAACCCTGAAACAAGGTTCCACTCCCCGACCTTCCTACAAAGGACAATTCTAGATCAAGAAATAAAAGACATCCCCCCCTCAAAAAAATAATTGGGAGGAAGAGGGTGCTTGCTTTGGAGTGGTGGTTTGCGGGTAGAAGTAGAACAGAAATGAACCCTTAAATCCTTTTCATCAAAAAAAACAACTTCAGGATGTTTTGTGTAGTTAACCTCATTATGTTGATCACGTGCAAAAGAGGTACCTCTAGAATATCTATCCCAGGTGAGTTGTCTGCTGTTCCTACCATTCTCACCTAGTTGTAGTAATAAGATTCAAGACACAACCCTTGATGGAAATGCTGGTGAGAGCTTAAAAAAAAAAAAAAAGGACAAAGAAAAAGCGGGGTGGGGGGCAAAAAACACTTTTGGCAATAATCTCGATTATCTATAATGTAGGGGGAACATTCACTTACAAGATTAAACATTTCATTTCCACTACAAAAACCTCACAATAGTTCACCATAACCTCGAGTGGAAAAACACCTGGGGAATAAAAACTTGATAATCTATGTGGGGAGGAATATTCTGGAAAACACCTTCAAATTCTAGAATGCAATGAAAGTTCCAGTCTTTTTTAAAGGGCGCACAAAAGTGCATACAAGTTCAGTAGCTAATTCTTTGGCGTCCACGCAAATAACACACGAGTTTCTGGTGGATATAAAAATGACCCCAGGCTAAAGGATACATCTTCCAATACCCACTTACTAGGATAAGCTCCGATGAGGAATTTCACCTCCTAGTGAGACCCAACTGGGGTGTATCCTCGCTTAATTTCCTTTATTAGTAGTCATAGTTCAGGCCCAATTTCTTTCTTTTCCTCTGATACTGAGGTCACATTTAAACCACCGGTACCCAGCTAAAACGCCAGCCCCAACACTAAACGTCCCGCTCAAACCACCACAAAAGAGTCAAGGCACACGAGCGCCCACAGGAACGCGACCCCCCTGGGGATCAGCCGGCGTCGCGGCGGCCGCCTGAATACCTCTACAGGACCACCGGGTGGGGAGGGGCCGCGAGGCCCTAGGGACCTCGGCGGGGCGGAGGGGGCCGATCCCGGCGGCGGGCGCACCGGCCCGGGCGCAGAGGGAAACTCCGAGGAGCGTGCCGGCCGAGCCGCGAGAAGGGTCAGGGGCCGGGGGAAAGGTGAAACCCGCGGCGCGCATCTGGGGGCCCAGGTGTCAGCAGGGCGGGAGGCGGCGCCGCACTCGGCCTGGACCGCGCGTCCCGGCACGCTTCCCGGGCCTGGGGAGTTTGCCGGGAGAACGGGTGCTAGTGAGGGGCGCCGCTCTCTAGCCCTCACCTTCTCGCGCCTCGGCCCCGGCCGCCGCCATCTTGAAGAGCTTTCATTCAAACTGGCGCGGTCAGACGGGATAGTGCAACGGGCCGACACTCCGCCCCAGCACGGCTAGCGCGGGAGTGGGGGGCCGGGCTGAGGGGCTGGACCCCGAGAGGCGTGCTGACGTCACTGGAGGCCGACCCCCGGCCTTAGCGGCGAGCGCGCTTGCGCTCCTCGTCGCGTACCGGCGCGTGGGAGGGTGCAGGAGGGAGCAAGGGCTGTGGAGGAGAGGGTCTTGTGGTGGGGTGGCGGGACAGGCGGCGCTCCGTTGGGTTATCAACCACCTTTTCCTGCCTCGCTGGAAATCAAGAGGCACCTCTGTCAGGCTTTCCCACATGTTTTAGCTTTACATGACATTGCATGAGCACTGTGCAAAATCCAAAACACCGGGACTATATGGTGCATTCCCCTTCCATGCCTGTTCCTCAGCTAACCGTTTTTTTAAAGAAGATTTTATTTATTTTTACACAGGGAGAAAGAGAGTAAGAGAAACCCACCAACTGGGGACCTGGCCCGCATGGGAAATGGAACAGGCTACCTTTCAGTTTGCTGTTCAAACGCCCAACTCTCTGAGCCACACCTATCAGGGCAGCGGACTAATCTTTGTTCTGTTTCTTCCCATGCTACTCAGATCACAGGCTATGGAAATTGGCTGAACATTGGGGGTTCCTTCTAGAGGGGTTTTGCTTTCTGGCCCCACTCTGGGAGGTTGATTTAATTGATATGGGGTGTGGCCTGAACATTGAAATCAGGTGAACAGCTCCCCAGGTGATTCCAATGTGCGGCAGTTTGAAACCACGGCCTAGATCAGTGTTTCTCTCACACCTGAATGGGCATAGGAATCCCAGATTGTGTTAAAACGCAGATTTGAATGGTAGATCTAGGCTGAGTCCTGAGGTTTTGCATTTCTGGTGAGTAGTATTCTGATGATGCTTCTGGATTGGGGCCACACTGGTGTAGCAAGGCTGCGTTCACACCCAGGCCCTCTACTAGGACTACAGGAGCTCCTAATTGGTCTCTATTTCTCCCCACATCCATTCTTCACACTGCATCCCTGGTGGCTGTTCTAAACCAATGATTTTCAAACTTTTTAATCTCACAGCACACATAAACTAATTGCAAAAATTCTACAGAACACCAAAAAAATAATTTTTTTGCCCTTGTGACCAAAAGAATAGGTGTAATTTTGATTCATTAACACTGGATGGCTATTGCTATGTTGGCTATTGTCATTTTTTTTAGTTGACGATCTAAGGGAAAAGTGCCCCTGACTAAATAGTCAAATATTGCATGTTTTAAAAATTCTTGTGGCTCACCAGTTGAAAATCACTGTTCTAAACAATCAAAAGCAGAGATCGCAGAAGAGAAAATCACAAAAACTTCAGTGAAAAGCAGTTTGCCAGACTTCTGGCCAGGTTAAAGGCATAGGTAGACACATTGTGCCTCCTTGTACAACCAAAAGAATGACAACAATAATTTAAAAATAAAAAACAACTAGAACTGACAGAAAATTGAACTGTAAGGAAGTCTGACAACCAGGGAGTTAAAGGAGAACATATTCAAAGAGACCGCTAGGAGGGGGGGAGTCGGGCAGCCAGGGCAGAGTGGGCGTGCAGCAAAGCAACTGCTGGCGGACCCTGGGTGCACAAGGTGGTGGCTGGTGGATCCAGTGAGGTGGCAGATTGTGGGGTATAGCACACAAGGTGGCTGGTAGACCAGGTGGTCCCACATTCGTGCACAGATAAACCAGGTGAAACTGGGGAGCAAGACAGACCGTGCAACCCAGGGTCCCAGCACGGGGGAATAAAGCCTCTAATGACTGATTGAAATACCTGTGCAGGTTGAGGTGCTGGGAGAGACTCCCAGCCTCACAGGAGAGTTCACTAGAGAGACCCACAGGGTCCTAGAACATATACAAACCCACCCACCCGGGAATCAGCACCAGAAGGGCCCAGTTTGCTTGTGGGAAGCAGGGGAGGTGACTGAAATCTGCCAGAGAATGGAGCAAGCGCCATTGTTCCCTCTTAGACCTCTGCCCCACATACAGCATCACAACCCAGTGACTGGGTCGCCCTGCCCTGGTGAACACCTAAGGCTCTGCCCCTCACTCTGTAACAGGTGCATCAAGACAAAAAAAAAAAAAAAAAAAAAAAAAAGGCCCAAACGAAAGAACAGATCAAAGTTCCAGAAAAAATACAACTAAGCAAAGAAGAGATAGCCAACCTATCAGATGCACAGTTCAAAGCACTGGTGATCAGGATGCTCACAGAATTAGTTGAATTTGGTCACAAATTAGATGAAAAACTGGAGGCTACACTAAGTGAAATGAAGCAAAATGCACAGGGAACCAATAGTGATGGAAAGGAAACTGGGACTCAAATCAATGAAGTGCACCAGAAGGAAGAAAGAGACATCCAGTCAGAAAAGAATGAAGAAACAAGAATTCAAAAAAATGAACAGAGGCTTAGGAATCTCCAGGACATCTTTAAACATTCCAACATCCAAATTATAGGGGTACCAGAAGGGGAAGAGGAACACCCACGAGTGGAAAACTTATTTGAACAAATAATAAAGGAAAATTTCCCCAATCTGGCAAAGGAAATAGACTTCCAGGAAATCCAGGAAGCTCAGAGAGTACCAAAGAAGTTGGATCTAAGAAGGAACATACCAAGGCACATAATTACATTAGCCAAGATTAAAATGGAGAGAATCCTAGAAGCAGCAAGAGCTAAGGGGACAGTCACCTACAAAGGACTTCCCATCAGACTGTCAGTGGATTTCTCAAAAGAGACCTTACAGGCAAGAAGGGGCTGGAAAGAAGTATTCCAAGTCATGAAATCCAAAGACCTACATCCAAGATTGCTCTATCCAGCAAAACTTTCATTTAGAATGGAAGGACAGATAAAGTGCTTCTCAGATAAGATCAAATTCAAGGAGTTCATCATCACCAACCCCTTATTATATGAAATGTTAAAGGGACTTACCTAAGAAAAAGAAGATAAAAAAGATGAACAGTGAAAGGACAGCAAACTCACAGTTATTAAGAAGCACACCTAAAACAAAAGCAAACTAAGAGGACAGCTAGATCAGGAGCAGAACCATAGAAATGAAGATCACATGGAGGGTTAGCAACAGGGGAGTAAGAGGAGGAAAAGGGGGGAGAAGGTACAGAAAATAAGTAGCATAGATAGTAGGTAGAAAATAGATGGGGGGAGGGCAAGAATAGTATGGGAAATATAGAATCTAAAGAACTTGAGACACGTGGTCATAAACTAAAGGGGGGAATGGTGGGGGAGGGGTGTGCAGGGTGGAGGGGAATGAAGGGGGGAATAGAACTGTAATGACATAATCAATAAAATATATTAAAAATAAAACTTCAAAAAAACAAAAACAAAAATAAACTAAGCAAAAAACTACAACAGGAACAGAACCACAGAAATGGAGGTCACATGGAAGGTTATCAACAGGGGAGAGAGGGGAAAAACGCACAGAGAATAAGTAGCATAGATGGTAAGTAGAAAATAGGGGGAGGGTAAGAATAGTATGGGAAAGGTAGAAGCCAAAGAACTTATGACACATGGACATGAACTAAAGGGGGGGAATGTGGGTGGGAGGGGGTGTGCAGGGTGGAGGGGAGTGAAGAGGGGAAAATGGGACAACTGTAACAGCATAATCAATAAAACATATATTTTTTAAAAAGCAGTTTGCCATCTACCAAGGATTTTAAAAATAAATTTACATAAAAAGATAAAAATATTTGAAAGCACCTATAGATTTTGCAATGATCAGAAATAAACACAGAACATTAAAGAAGTTAATATTTGTTTTCATTATGAAATAGTGTCTAGCCATTACAAAAGATCTTTAGGAAGCCTTTAGGATGGTGGGGTTTATTTAATATGTTAAGCAAAACAAAAACTTGTAAAATACACAAAATTTCAACTGTGTAAAAAAATGTATAGGAAGATAAATATAAATTATCTGTGGATAATTTTTAAAGTCAAAAATTTAAACTTATCATCTTTACAAATTTAAGCAGAAATCCTACCAAAGATGGGGGAAATATAGGTATTTTCTAAGCAAGGAGCAGAGACCAAAGACCTAGGGATAGGGAACAAGGAATACTCAAAGTTATGAATTAGAATAGGAGGAAATGATGAGTAATGAGGCTTGAGAAGTGGACAAGAACCATATCAGAAAGAACCTCCTGTGATAGGGTTGGATAGGACCTTTTATTCCTCTTTATCAAGGTGATGGATAAGGGGAGAGGACTTGGGTAGAGCCCTACCTCCTAATCGGGGCTTCTCTCACCCCTCCTTCCTAAGTGTACTCACTGTAAGTTCTGACAGCACCTCTTGAGTATCCATTCTTATGCAATTTCTTTTCTGGTTTTCCTTCTACCTCAATAGCAACTTTTCACTTCCCTTTCTGGCGGCCTTTCCTCTATCTAACCTAAATGCTGGGGTTTCTCAAGGCTACGCCCCAAGACATTTCTCTTATGTTCTCTCCCTAAATGACTGCCTCAGTCCCCATGGATTTAAATACCATCTTTATCATCTTCATGCCTTTTGTCTCCAGCCCTGATCTCTGTCCTGAATTCCAGACCTTAATATCCATAGTGCCTAGTTCACATATCCACTGAGGTGTTGTACAAACACCTCAAATTGAACATACTCATGAAAGTACCCTTGATTTTTGCCACCAAACCCAGTTCTCCCCACAAACTTTCTCATCTCAATACACTGGCACCATCTATTCAGGTGTTTAAGAAGGAAATCTAGGTGTTCTTGAGTGGCTCTCTCCTCACATTCTCCAAACAAATTCCATTAGGAAGTCCTGGCAATGGCATGTCCAAAATATAAGGTCTGTCTAGAAAAAGTCAGGCCATTGATAATATAACAAGAACAGTTTGCACGACATTGATATGAACTGACAGCCAAGGAGAATGGACTGGAATGTGAATGTGTAAACAGTGATGACTTCATTGCACTAGTCAGTGGGTGGGGGGGGTAGATGCCATTGAGTGAGCATGTGAACTGTGTGGCTGTCCCATTCAAGATGACTGA